AAAGCTCTCACGTACCTTCCAACAAGTCCGTGGAACTCCTGCCAAGCTCAGGGCACTTTCTACTAGTTCATGGATCTTCCGACAAGTTCAGGAAACTTCTGACAAGTTTACGGAATTAATGACAAGCTCACAAAACTTCGAACTGGTTCACAAAATTTTCGACTAGTTCACGGTTCTTCCGACAAGTTCCTGGAACTTCCAATAAGTTCTGGGATCTTCTGGTAAGTTCACGGAACTTCCGGCAAATTCACGGCACTTCTGGCAAGTTCAGGGAACTTCCGATTAGTTTATGCATATTCCGACACGTTCAGGAAAATTCTGATAAATTCACGAAATGTTTGACTAGCTCAAAAAACTTTCGAGTTGTTCACGAATCTTCCGACTAGTTCACGATTCTTCGAACAACTTCATGGAACTTCCAACAAGCTCAGGGAATTTCTGGCAAGTTCACGGAAATTCCAACCAGTTCATAGAACTTGCGACTTCCGGATCTTCTGACGAGTTCAAATGATTAAGGAATTTCTGACCATTTCACGAAAGTTTCAACATGTTCATGGAACTTTCGAGAAGTTCACAGAAATTTCTACTAGTTCACGGATCTGGCGACTAGTTTACGGAAACCCAAAAGCTCTCACGGACCTTCGAACAAGTCCGTGGAACTCCTGGCAAGCTCAGGGAACTTTCGACTAGTTCATGGATCTTCCGACAAGTTCAGGAAACTTCTGACAAGTTCACGGAATTTATGACAAGCTCACAAAACTTCCGACTGGTTAACAAAACTTTCGACTAGTTCACGGTCCTTCCGACAAGTTCCTGGAAATTACAACAAGTTCTGGGATCTTCTGGCAAGTTCACGGAAATTCCGACAAGTTTACAGAACTTCCGACTAGCTCACGGATCTTCTGACAAGTTCAAGGAACTTTTGACATTTTCACGGAATTTCTGACCAGTTCACGAAACTTTCAACAAGTTCATGAAACTTCCGAGAAGTTCCCGGAACTTCCAACAAGATCATGGAACTTCTGGCAAGTTCATTGAAATTCCGACTAGTTCTCGGATCTTGCGACTGGTCCACACTTCCGATGTAGTTTAAAGTATTCGACAAGCTAACGGAACTTCATACAAGTTCACGGAACTTCTGGCAAGTTCAGATAACTTGTGGAAAGTTCAGAGATATTTCGACAAGTTCAAGAAAATTCTGACAAGTTCATGGAATTTCTGGTAAGTTCACAAAACTTCCGACTGGTTCACGGTTCTTCCGACAAGCTTATGGAACTTTTAGTTCACAAAACTTCCGACTTCCGGTTTTTCGGATAAGTTCATGGAAATCCCAACAATTTCAGGAAATTTCTGGCAAGTTCACAGAGCTTCCGACTAGTTCATGGATCTTCGGACAAGCTCAAGGAACTTTTGACATATTCATGGAATATCTGATTATTTCACGAAAGTTTCAACATGTTCATGGAACTTCTGGCAAGTCCATTGAACTTCCGACTAGTTCACGGAACTTCCGAGTGGTTTACGGAAATCGACAAGCTCCTGGAACTTCCAACAAGTTCAGGGAACTTCTGGCAAGCTCAGGGAACTTCCGACTAGCTCATGAATCTTCCGACATGTTCAAGAAACTTCTAACAAGTTCACAGAATTTCTGACAAGCTCACAAAACTTCCGACTGGTTCATAAAACTTTTGACTAGTTCACCAATCTTGTAACAAGTTCACGGAACTTCCGAGTAGTTTACGGAAACCGACAAGCTCAAGGACCTTCCAACAAGTTCGTGGAAATTCTGGCAAGTTCCAGGAATTTCTGAAAAGATCTTGGCCAAGTTCAGGGAACTTCTGCCTACACACTTCGAAAAATTAATGTAAATTTAGGTGCTTTGAGACTGACATACAATACGAGCATCAATTTTGACATAAAGTTGTGTCATAATAGACGCGAAATTTAGCTCAATCAAACGTAATTTTCGTTGAGTACCGAACTTTTCAGTCTCGGAGTACTTAATTTTACATGACATGTTTGTTTACGTCTCATCAAACATATTATATTAACAATATGATCCACTCTTTCGCTTAGCTGGCGAACCAAATTTTTAGCGATGAAAGCACCTCTGTGGCCAAAAAGACTGCCAACGTATTTGTTTATCGTCACGAGGGGTTAACCAAATGAAAATTTGTTTAATATTTTAAATGAATGTATTTCAGCATATTATTTTATTTGATGACAACAGTGACATGTCAGACAAATTTTAAAGTAATATACACAATGTAATTAATGGAAATAATGTGACTCTTACTTTTGTAATAAGTGCTATATTCGCACCCCTCGATTGTAATTGAATGATTGTTGCTGACCTTTTTCAACGCTAGATGGTGCGTGAAGCAATATTTTGCGGGTCGCCGTTGCAATATTTGGAAAAGGCATGAATGGATCATTTTGTTAATATGATATATTTGGTCTCATCCTTTATGTCAAAGATGGATTCCGTCACGTGTAAGATTAGGTATTTCTATGTGTGTAGCTCACAAAACATCCGATGAGTTCACAAAACTTCCAAGTAGTTCACGGTTCTTCCGACAAGTTCTGGAAACTTCTGGCAAGTTCACGGAAATCCCGGATTTTTTTTTTTCTATGGTCAATCATTCACATTTGGCTAAAATTCGGCCATTTTAAATCTAACAAAAAATCAAAATGACGTTTTCGATATTTTTTAACAAATCATAACTCTAAAACGTTACTTCCAATCGAGATGACGTCTGAGTCAAAGTTGCAGGAAAACATAATTCCTTTCTATGACAAAAAATATCACTTTAAAAAAAAATATGTAAATTTGGGTAAAACATCCAAAAAGTATTATAATCTTAAATTATAAAACAAAAATACCTTCTTTAGTAATGTTTTCAATTAAAAAGTTACGCACTAATCCTGGCCTGTTTGGTAGTATTTTGGAACTGTTTGGTAATAGTTTCAAAATCAGTGATAAATTAAAAAAATAGAAAATTTACTCCGAACTTTTACAGGCTGTGTTGATCCCATTTGATGATAAAAGTTAAAATTTGTTCAGCTGTGCAAAAACCCTGTAAAATTTTACAGGTTTAGGTGATTCAGTGAGTACATTTTCAGTTTCGCTCCTAAATTTGCCACCCTATCGGAATCCGAATGTGGTCCAATGTATCCACCGGACCTTGCAAGAATGAAGAAATGATTCTGTATGAATAATCAAGAAGGTACAAAGGCACATTTAGGACTGAAAGTGATCCCATCCCAAAATTAAGCACCCTCATACACTGAAAAAAGTTTTCATTTATTTTCTATAAGGAACGCACAGAATATTTTTAAAATAATAAAATTCTTGATTTTTATCTGATTATCACATAACATAATACATTATATGTGAGTAATCATATAGAATTCATTGGCCACATAAGATGCATGTGATTTAGTGGAGCGATTTCCAAATATGGGATTATTTGAAACTTATGTGAAATTCTCATGGATATTTTCCACTGGTTTTCAAACATTTTTTTTTTCAACTCAACCTTAAAATTCTTTCCTCATAAATACACATAAATTGCTGTCCCTCAGTTGTTTTAATCGACCTGCTCACACCATTTTTGATAACTTTTATAAAACAGAAACAACACGCAAACGAAAATCAATTTCATTAGTGTGTTTCATTTAATGATTTTTTTGCCAACACATCAACTTAATAGTTTGTATTTGGAAACCACATACATCCCAATCTAATATAATCTAACACCAACACAGCCAGTTCATGAGAGCATCCTGGAAAATGATAGAGATAGCTCCATAATTTTTCTTGTCTATTTGGTTTATGTTGCACATCAGAGAAACGCAAAATATATCAAAAAGACCAGGACAACTGTGCAGCATTTAAGGGGCAAGATGATTCAGAAACATCGGGCCTGTTTAGATCAAATATTTATGTAAGGGCAATGAATAAATTTTAATACAGTTTATTTGACACATGATCATCATTAACTTGCTTGCATGGTTTCTGCTTATTAGTTGACTATTATGAATAAAAACCAATAGAAATGTTCCAAGTACAATTTTAAAATGCATAACCACATACAGAATAAGTAAAACTAATATTGACACTGATCGAACTGCTGCACATTTTTTTTTTTTCATCGAAATCCAAATAAATTGCTGGTAAAAAAAACTTCGGGCAAAACGTAAATTGTATCCATCCAGTCCAGCCAAACTATGTTGGCATCACTGCTCTCATCGAACATCGTCATATCTCAATCTCTGCTGTCGATAACACCCCACGCTCAAAACGATTACTTACTTGGCATCGGGAAAACAGTTGTACAGCCATTTGAAATGCTCCAATATGTCACGCTTCTTCGCCAGCAGCGGTCCCAAATTCCCTATCAAAAGCACCGGTTTCAGGAAGGGCACACCCTTCTCGGCAAAGTAGAAATAATTTCTCGTCAAGTAGCGATAGATGAGCCCGAACGCGATCGCCGCCACCACCCCCACCATCGACACCGTCAGAAGGCTGAGTTCCATCATTTCGATGTTTGCTTTCGTTGTTTACTTATCTTGCGGGTTGAATTCTGTGAGCTGCTCAATTTTAACTGCGGGATCGTCCCTCTTCACACCACTGATATAATACACTGAGTGACGAGGGCAGACGAGCTCGTAACTGATTTTATAAGTGAATGTTCCCAGCGACACGGAGGGAATAAATGGGCATTTTTTTAATTTTATTTAATTACTTGTGCTTTCTTCGTGCTTCTCGTGATTGATACTCCTTTTTTTAATATTTTACATTATATATTTTGAAAATTGCAGCAGTAATTTTCTGTGTACACGACTGATACCATGAATTGTTTTGATTCTTTCGCATTTAGGCACCTGATAGCTACAAAAATGGTCATAGCAAGTTTATCGTTCATGACTCATTTCCTTTGAGCACAACCGTATCAATGTTTCATCATACTAACATTCAAATTTTCTCCCTCTTCCAGAACCTACCTCAACGGCAACCCTCGATCGCCGACCGGGCCCGCGACGCACATCCACATGGCTACGGAACTCGATGCGCAAGACGCGCCCCATCACCCTGCCGGATCACATTGCCGACGCCCCAAAGTCTATCGATTCCCATGGCACTGGCGAGTTCATCGACGATAGTATTAACGCATCACTCAGCACGATCTGCACTGACCTCACCAGCATGCCCCATTCTTCTTTCGAGGAATCCGAATCCCACCAATCGCTACCGCTCGAAGATCACAACGAACTCAATTCCATCACGACGCTTCCCGCTTCCGAGCTGGAAATTTCGTCGGAAGAACCCGAACCCACCGTTCGCGAATCCTATCAACAGACTGACCCTGCTAACGCGCTAACACCAGCCCCCAGTGCACCCATCACCGAGGAGGACCTGATACCCTACCTCGTATCGGCCTCGCTTTGCGAACGCGAACCAGCCCCACTGGAAACGAACCTGGACAGTCCCACTCAAACGAACCGTCCCCGACAAACTGGACGACGCTCCGAGGTACGACCCCGTGTGGTGTCGATCACAGCCGAACGGGATGCCTCTACCAACCAACTGATCATTCGGACCAACACTGTTCCGGCCGGTGGCGCTGCTGGCCAGAGCAGCAGCAGCAGTCCCAACCCCCGAATCAGTATGCCAGCGACGACTTCGTCGGCCTTTGACACTCATCAAAATCACCATCGTCATCACCATCACCATCATCGCTACGGCGGGATGGGATCGGAAACCAGTTCAATCGGGTCGTCACGGAATCCCAGTCCGGTGTCGCTGCTGTCGACGACCACGTTCAGTTCGATCGCGTCCGGAGTGGACACCGAGAGGTAATTTGATGATTTGAGTTTAGTTTCCAATGCGGAAGCTTTGCGGTGCCGAAATTCTTTCTTAGCATTAGATTTAGTACAAGAGGTGTCCGAATACTTGCGGCTTACTCGAGGTTTCGGGCTACAATCTATTAACAGGTAGGGAAGGGATCAAGGAAAAGGTACACAAGGATGCGATTGATATATTTATCTTCACCGCCGTTGAATGGCTGTTTTTCGACGATTGACCATGCAGTACGGGGACTGGAAAGTGCTCTTGATCTCTCTCGAGATAACTGATGGTTGTTTACAACTCAAGACCAACAATTGAAATGCCCTTAACTCCATTTTGTAAACAAACCTTGTAAGGCCATTTTCTCGCGAACCGAAACCTTCATTCTTAAACCTAAACCACATTCGGGTAGAGGAGAATTTCCTCTACCTGTTCATTATGTCACTCTCAAACGTTAGTAATTTTAAACGTCAAAGTTGATGATCGATGAAAGCAATGGCCATTTAGGCTCTGAACCATTTGGTGGATTATTTTAATTTTTATTTAAAATTTGACAGATGAAAAGTTATCGATTAACCCTGCTATCCGAGCATGGTTATTTCTGACAGACAAGAAGTTAAAGTTTGACAACCGTGGCTCGAAAACCGGTCGATCGACAGCACGGGGATTTTCGAACATAGAAAATAACTTTCGAAATGTCACTTTTAACCACGAGTTAAATTTAACTCGGCAAATGGTTCACAGCCTTAGTCTGTGAACCATTTGCCGAGTTAAATTTAACTCGTGGTTAAAAGTGACATTTCGAAAGTTATTTTCTACATCCGTGCTGTCGATCGACCGGTTTTCGACCCACGGTTGTCAAAATTTAACTTCTTGTCTGTCAGAAATAACCATGCTCGGATAGTTAGGCTGTGAACCATTTGCCGAGTTAAATTTAACTCGTGGTTAAAAGTGACATTTCGAAAGTTATTTTCTATGTTCGAAAATCCCTGTGCTGTCGATCGACCGGTTTTCGAGCAGAACTTAGCCAAGGTTGTCAAAATTTAACTTCTTGTCTGTCAGAAGTAACCACGCTCGGATAGCAGGGTTAATCGATAACTTTCCATCTGTCAAATTTTAACCAAAAGTTAAAATAATCCACCAAATGGTTCAGAGCCTTAGGCTGTGAACCATTTGCCGAGTTAAATTTAACTCGTGGTTAAAAATGACATTTCGAAAGTTATATCTTATGTTCGAAAATTCCCGTGCTGTTGATCGACCGGTTTTTGAGCCACGGTCGTCAAAATTTAACTTCTTGTCTGTCAGAAATAACCATGCTCGGATAGCAGGGTTAATCGATAACTTTCCATCTGTCAAATTTTAACCAAGAGTTAAAAAAAAAATCGCCAAATGGTTCAGAGCCTTAGGGTCTTCATCAATAACCTTCCATCTGTCAAATTTTAACCAAAAATTAAAAAAAAAAATCGCCAAATGGTTCAGAGCTTTAGAAATTAGCTAGGGGAAGGATAGGTCCAAGTATCAGCATCAATATCGATGGTGGAAATATTAAATATTTTAATATGTGTAATATTTGCGAATCTTATACTTAGTCTGACAGTTGTTTTGTTTTGTTTTTGACTATTTTTGGTTTGAAGTGTACATTTTACATTCTTTTAATAAAAAATGGATTTCATTAATTTCCACGACTTCTTCATCGTCTGCGAACCAATGTGCTGTCCTCCGATGGAACGGGAATCAACTGACTAAGCCTCCCCTGTAAACGGAGTCCCAGAGTGATGGTTCCGTGGTCGTATTACACTCGATTTGCCATGAGCCTGCAACTGGCAAAATTTGCTGCTGGGGGAACGTCCAGTACCGTTTTTATCATGAAAAGTCGAAGTCGAAATCGATCAGACTGATCAGAGCTATTGAAAACGAAAATCTAGGCAAAAATGAAAGCTGCAGTAAATATAAACAACAACGGTGAAACGTCATTGAGTGTATGCGTTAAAGTTACACTGTTATTTTTTTTTACTTTGCAGCTGTCCGCTTGACAGTTAATATCATTAATATTTATACTTAAAATTAATTACCAATTTGAGTAATTTTTATACCAAATATTACCATAGAGGTAACTCTAAGACCACTGGGTCCCGAAGAAAATCATTATTATTTTTGGCTCACTCAGTACCAGAACAACGATCCCAAGCAGTCCCAAGCTATTTCACTCACCCCTGCATGTTCTGCATGAATCCACACACCCCTGATGTTATCTGTCAAACTTTCATAGCGAATCAAAACAAACATAGTGTAGTAATAGAATTTCAACTAGAATAGGGTACGTTAATCGTTTGCTTGGGACCAATAGGCTACTAAAGTGGTGAGCCAATATAAAATCGTTAGTTTCGTATTGATTGTTGATATTACTGCAGATCAAGTTGTACTTCCCCTAGGAAATTAGTTACTTCAAAAGAGTTTTTAACATTGGAATCATCAAAACAATAGAGATTGCTAAAGTATGATTGAGTCAGTGATTTGTTTTCATCGGGAAAATTTTCCGCTATGAAATTTTTTTTCCCGATGAAAACATTTTGCGTATGTATACGTGACCTAGTGTGTGTACTAGAGTGATGCAAAATTTGAAATTTTCGCTCCACAATACTTAAACGATTCCAAATAGGATCCTGACTTACCTCTTAAAATTTGAACCCATTTGGTGAGAAACTGAGATGGCACAAACCATTTGAAGTTTGTATGGGAATTACTATGGTAAAACCAAGATTTTTGTTCATGTCTATCTTCTAATTTACCATATCGGTCTGCTTCAAAAACATTCACCTGTACTTGTAGGAAATTTTCCCACCTACAACTTTGCTCAAGACCACTTTTTGATCAAATGCAAGGATCGAAAGTTATCAATGGTTCAATGCGCTGATGTCTTATGATCATGCTCAATCAACTGCTCAGCAGGCAACATTGGTATTTCGGGGGCGTTGAATAGGACACAAAAATCATGGCTACATCACCGACGAACCGACATGACTCTTGGAACAAAAATCAACAGAATTACTGTCTCATTATTTCAAATTAAAATACGTTAAAACACTAGCGACATCTGCTTAACGGTTCGCGTGCGTCTGAAATTGACGGCAAGATTGACAAAGCGTGTTGTCATTTGGGATCGATGTAAATCATACAAGGTGAAATTTTTAGTGGTGTTCGTATTTCATGGCAATGTTTATTTTTTTATACGAAACAGCTATTTTCTGTGACGTCACGTCTGTTGTCCGCAGTATGGAATGTTGTGCTGACGTGACGTCATCATTCGCTTGCACAGAAATGTTTACAACATTTTCGTATCTAACACCAGCAAGCTCTGCCTGTTGTTACAAACCTTCTATGATTGACATTAATTTGGGTTGTCATGGAAGAAAAATTATCAAAATAAAACAGGCCAACATTTCGAAGGTGTTTGATTTTTTGCCGTGAAACGCAGGATTATTGTCCACATATATAGGATAAATTTCTGTATTTTTTGCAGCCGGTAACAGATGAATTTTGTGGTAAGCATTAACTGTGATACGCCCTATAAATTAGTGTTTTCCACATATTGATAATCTTCTATATTAATAGAAAAAAACGTCATCCGATTGACTTCTGCACCTGGTTCCAGCACATCAGTTTAAACTGCTGTTGCAGCACTGATGTAGTTAGTGATAAGACGCACAAATTAAAGTGGATGCTAGTGTGACACAGGACTAGAGTTGTAAGGTGTCATGTTAATGTTATGTTAATCAAAAGAATCACCCATATTCTCGTTTTCGTTCTAACCGTATTTTCCATACAAAAAAAAGTTTTATTGTATGGAAAATACGGTTCGAACGAAAAAAGAATATGAGTGAATAATTGCATGTGCTTGGTTTCAGTGTTTTCATCCAGTGTATTTTTGATAATATATTCTCGGCAAGTGATTCTATCACTGATAAATGTTCATTTTTGTTTACCGTCGAGAAATTCGAGAAGAACAAAATAGAAAACCATATTCTCTACATATTCCAGCGGCAAACACATTCGTCCTGCTTTACGATTGCGCTTGTATCGCTTAACTTTATCTTCTGTTGATTGCTTTGCTTTTACTGATTTTAGAAACCCTTGTATCAAAGTATTGTAAATCTTGTCGATCAGGAGCAAAAAACATGTTTTGCAAATACAATCATCGAAAAGTTCATAGTCGACATACTGCTTAAGCTTAGTTTTCACTCCCACCTTATTTTGAAACATAAAATTCGAGAACTTTTGATTGAAGGCTGCAAAACAAATAACTCCGATTTCATAAAGTTTTGTGTTAGGCAAATTCAGTACATTGGATGTTGAAAGTTGCTTAAGTTTGATAAAATTGTAGGCCTCATCCATCACGTCATCTTGCCTCTCTTGTACTAAATTTTTAACACATTTCTTGTGAGGCAATTTTCTAACAGCTGCACCAACAATGATATACATATCAAACCATTGAGTTCCCTCATAGTGATTTCCAATGGTTTGGAAGTATCCAACGGTGGCAATTCCAATGAAGCAGTTAAGATGTTGTGTTGGTTTCTGTTCGAATTTCCAATCATAAAATCTCCCAAGTCCTTATTAGTGATAAGTGGTCGTGCGTCATCAGCTTCACAATTTTCACCATTAAATGCCTTACGGTTAGCTTCAATCGCCGCATATTTGAAAGCTGTTCCAAATTGTAGGGAATCAGGGGCGTCATTGCTTCCACATCGTCGTCGAACTTCGGCAAACAAATTTTCCAGAAAATCTTGACACAGATGGTTTGTGCACAAATGGTCAGCGTTGTACTCATTTTGGAGAACTCGCCATAACTGTTTGAGAGCATTTATATTGCTGATAAAACCACGAATGTAGTTAGGATGACGTTGTGTTATGGTCAGATCTTTCGATTCACTTGCTGCCTATTAAATTAAAAATATGGATGAGTTACTGTTCTAATTTCACAGAGATTAAATGAAAAATACCTGCGAAA